AAGCAGGCTTTGAGCTGCTGCTGCGCTGAGGAAACGATCAAGTAAATACAAAGAAAAACACACGTGAAGATTTGTTGCGTTCTGGTGGTGCAGGTACGACTGGACCATGATGCATCTTTATAAGCAGCGCCCTTAAGATCGCCCCGGTACACATAGCAAACTAGTAAACACTTGAAAACGCAGTTACTTATTATGCAAAACAGCAACTTACGATGCTCGCGATGAAGAAGACGATGAGGTTGACAGCGCATCATCGGAAATGCCCAGGGTGTCCATGTAGCGCACGACGGCGCGATAGCGGAACTCTCCTTCTCTGCGTAATTGGCCGTGTTCCATGTTATCCAGGTGGTCCTTGACGAGTGCCAGCAGTCCAACGAGGTAGTTGTGCGTCACTTCAGGCGTCTGCACTTCGTAAAAGTACAAATACTGGATGCAAGCAAAGGGTGTTAGTCAACGATAAACCAAGGATAGCACTCATCAAGACAACGTACGGCCTCCAATATCTCTAGAAAGAGAGGAACCTGGTTCGACGTCGTGTCCTTCATTGCATCTGCAATACGTAGCGATCGCTGGAGGCATTCTCGGACGCGCTTGCCATCTTGTTGAGATGGATGCTACAGTTAGGAAAGGTAACATCTATGAGTTTAGTATTAAAGCAAGGAAGTTTAATGCAGCTTACCCAAAAGAGGTGCGCGCAGTTCAGCACCATCAAAGCTTGTTCGTTCTTCTTGAGCAGGCGAGCAGCGTATTGTGTTGTCTTGGTGGCGAGAACCTCGTAGTTAGCACTCGATAGGTTGCGAGTAGCTCGAAGTGACGCCACCATGAGCTCTAAAGCTCGCCATTGTTCTCGTGCAAGTGTGATCTGGTCTTCGTACACAATGAAAGCCTGCGTGATGAACTCGTACGCAACTGCCTCAAAGGCACAGCCGTCGGCTACCAGCGCACACTGGAGAAACAAGTGGACGCACGAGACAGACAGAGCGTCCTGCTTGGAGGCCAACGCAGTCACCATTTCGTGTACGAATTGCAGCACTTGGCGAGGTGTAGTAACAAAAATCTTAACGTTGTCAGTAGGTGTTGCAGTCTCTAACTCCGGCTTGGTTTCTTGCCCTTGAGCTTGAGTCTTCTCCTTGGAATGCGCTGCTAGATCTCTAGCGAGTGCCAACGACTGGTAAATCAACGGCACAAGAGTAAACCGAATCCGGAAAACGCCACTCTGTAGAAAAGCACGTCGAGCCACGGAAAACACTCGAAATTTAACGTCAAGATCATCATTGGTGACGAGGTGGACGACCTTGGCCAGTGTTTGCTGCTCAGCTTCAAAGATCTCAGTCTCCTTTCTCTTCTCTGCTTCAGTTGCGGTGGCAGGGGATGGAGACTGCAACTCGTTGGGGTCATCACGTACCAATGGAGCTAGAATCTGGAGCAAAAAGTCCATTTGCTTCTCGTCGTGGACACGCTCGTGCCGAGCAAGAAGCACACGAATCCATGCGAGCGCCACATCCTTCCACGCTCCTTGCCACGGCATCAGCTCAAGCAACTCACGCAGCGCCGGAATTTGCATCAGATCCTGAATGGAAAGCACTCGAAGGAGCGTAAGCGCAAGAGATTCAAGCTGCGAAACCACGAGTTGCCGCTTTTGTTTGTCCTTGTCAACGCGCCACGCTGTTCGCTCGCGTAAAAACGTTAGACAGCCAGAAACTACTTGCTGCAACGCTGTCGTCGTGTCTGAATTCCTGTTCTTGGAGCTGCTACCCAGCCACGTGAGTGTGAAAGCAGCAAACGTCACGAAATAGGGCAACACTGCGGTCAGATGAACGTCACCGTTGCCACTTTCGCTTGGAGACTGGCCACTAACGTATCGTGATGATCGTAACAACAGCTTGGTGGTCGTATCCATTAACTGCTGGAAAACTTTCAACGCATCTTGATGTTCCTGTTCAGCATTGCTACGGTCAGCCACCTCCACTTCTTGCTGCCCAGCGATAGTGACGCTACCCTGAGTCTCTCGGTATTTAGTGAGGCGTTCAAGAAGCGCAGCCAAGATCAACGCGACGTCCACATTTGTCTGGAGTTTTTCCATCGCGTCCAACATCCTCTCAAGATTCTGCAAGTGGAATTCGTCCGGGAAAACCTGAATAATGCAGTCCATCAGGTACTGCTGCGCCATGCAGTCTTTGCAGGCTAGAACGACATCATCCAGTAGTCGGGGCAATACCTGCTCAGCGTAGACACTGCGTGTGACTCCTTCCATCTGACTAAGCCGCACAAGACTCGTCCCGACCAACAACCGCAACTCCATTCGCTCCTTTTCCCTTACTGCCAATGGCCTAGACCCTCCAATTTTCTGGTGTTGCAGTCGAATCCAAAGTTGATTTGTCTCTCGTAAATTCTGAAGCAGAAAATTAATAGCGTCGCTGACTGTGCCTCCACCGGATTGCTCGTACACGGAGCCCGTATCCGGGAGCTTATCACGGACACTGAGCGACAAATAGTGCCTCAAAAAGAGCCCTCGTAG